TATATTTAAGTTGTTATTTTAAAAATTGTCATTTTTAAAATAAACTTTCAATTGATTTATATGATACATATGCGTATCAGTTCGTGTAGATGCGAATATAGTAAGATATTTTATTATTTTGCATAAGATATTTTGTTTAACAATAAATCAAAGTTTGATAATGGTTAATTAAGGTAATTTTTGTTTTATCAATACAATATATAAATTACTTTAATTCGTTCTTATATTTGTTGTATTCGTATATTTTGACACGAACTTTATCAGACTACCTATGCAGTTGCGGCTCCTGGTTTGGAACATGGAACGATCGCACCCCTACTAAAACTAATTAAAAGAAGAAAATTGATTTGAAATTCTTAATTTTACATTTTTAAGAAATAAATTTTCATTAAAAATGCAAATTTTTAAATACTAGTATAGTTATAATACATTTTTGCTGGTGGTGGGGATGCGACTTTAAATATAATACAGCTAGTCATAAGTATAAAAAATTGTCAAATTAAATATAATGAAATAAATCACAATACACATATTATTTTAAAGGTCGCAGTAGAAAATAGATATGCACACACGAGCAGTGATTGGACAACCGACAGCGTCATCCATACGGTAAAATCTTATTGCATAATAGAACAAGGAAAATACACTTTTGTAGGAAAATTACTTAGCGAGCTCAGATTTGCAAAAATTTTTTTTTTCAATGAAAGTACTCGGTCACCAGACTCCGGGAAAATTATTGGTGAAGTATTTTTTTTTTAAGTCCACACGCATGGTTTTAATTTGGGCATTGACTTATTTCTGCACATACGTTTATTCTGAACCTTAATTTGTGTAATATTTATTTTTATTGGGATACTATTTTGCATTTGTGCATAACATTATATTATATTAAGGATTTTTATATGTTATACATAAATAATAAGTTATATATAAATTTCAATACGGTATAATTATATAAGTTTATACATTCATTATCAGAACATTACATTATTAATAATCTTATTTTTCCCATATATGATGTATGAGTCTATGAGTGTATCGTTTAAATTGAGATCCATCTATGACAACTATGCTGTCCAACATCAAATCACAATTACCAATATTTTTATCAAAATTAAATTTTTTACATAGTCCCACGTATAATTAGAATATTAATAATTTTTGTGCATACCAGGGATGTATTTAAGGGAGATATGGGACCCCCTTGAACCAACCCTATCAAATTTTTTTAGACAACTTCTAATAAATAAGGACCTAATGTTCTTTTTTTCATCATTACTTTGATTTTTATCAAAAAAAATTCTATAACATGTTTAACAAAGTAAAAAATATTAAATACCCTCCTAAAATAATTTTTGAATAAGCCTAAAAGGAATACCTCATTAACAAACGTCAACCTTATACCCAATACATTTTACTATATCCTCTTTTTCTCCAGATTTCCTGATTTTAATAATTTCATTTTTAATATATTTTTGCTACACTGATTCTGTTGTAATAATTTTTCTGCAAAACACTTATCGTAGCCGGGTACTCCTACTGGATCAGTGGCCTACTTAAGATAACGGCCCGAAAAGGCTTACGCTTACCGATATTAGTATATTACTTTATTGGGTAAATTATTTTTAGAATTAACTGCGTGACGCTCGACGTTATCGATTGCTACAATAGTATATAATCGCTATTATTATTTTTTTTATTTTCTACTGCGATCTTTAACATAATATGTGTATTTTGATTTATTTTATTATATTTAATTCGACAATTTTTTATTCCTACGACTAGCGGTATTATATTTAAAGTCGTATTCCCACGAGCCACCAATGTACCAGTAGTATCTTAAATATTATAAAATAGAAACTTTTGCATAAAAATTTTACTTTTTCAACTTGAAAGTGTTTTGGAAACACTGCGTCCTTTAATCCTATTTAAATTAATACTTATGTTACGTACTATAGATTTGAAAAAAAAATGCGTCCCGTTGACTTATCTTCTATGTGAAAATGGCTATCGTAGTCAAAATTTAAGATTTTATATTAGTCAGCAATTAAGATATATAGATATATACTTATGTATATTGTCTTTACATTATTGTTGTGACTCGACTGCGGTGTTCAATTTTTTCTATATATCTATATAAATAAAAAATATATATATAAATATATTGTGCGGTGTTCTCCCGTATATTGGATACGCGTTAAACCAACTTAAAAAAAAAAAAAATGTATTATTATTATTATAAATAATTTTTTCGATAAAATTAGACCTTCTTGCATAACAAAAAAAAATAAAATAAAAACAAATATGATTCTGTTTATATGTATTTTTTTAATAATTTTTATATTTTGAATGGTAATAGCATTAAAACATTTATATTGTATAACAACTCTCTATTGCATGGGTTTTAAAGAATGCTATCAAATAGGTTCAGTAAAATTATATTTCAGTTATTATTAAATACATTTTCTTATGGATTATTTCAAATTAATACTAATCAATTTAATTTAATTTAGTTCAAGAAAAATGAATATTATAATAATTAAAAATTAAAACTATATTAAAAATATTATTAATTTTAAACTAAAAAATATTAAACTCAATATCAAATAATTATAATTTTTTGAAAATGGGTTAATAATAAATTTGTACAAAAACAGTCCGGCGGCAAAACGTCCGTAGCGAAATGTCCGCGTCCAACCTACCCGTTTCTTGATGTGCATGTAAAAATAATTCTACTTGATATTTTTAAGCATTAAATGAGCATCTTTATATTTTATAAAATATTCATTATAAGTTTAGAATTAAATCCAAGAATACAAAATTTTAAATCAGTAAAATTTTAAAGTTGTTAGTTTAATCTATTTTATTTTGTATATTAGATTCCAAAACAATTTGTTGAACAAAAGTTCGTTTTCATACTATATAATAAAAACTTATTACCTTAAATAAGGCAATAAATATAAATCTATACTTATAAATTAATAGGTTTATTTATGCATAAAACTAATTCTAACAATGATATGTCATTTACCTGGCGGTTATTGGAAATATTCAAACGTTAATAAAATGTGTTAATTACTTATAAGACCGATAATTTTGACTATTTTTCGTTAATTTTTTAAAATAATTTATCGGACACAAAGAAAAGTAAATTCATACATATATTTTTAGCCATCTATTTTACTTTCACAAATTTTAAGTTTGTAAAATATTAATGTTGACAAGCTGTTTTACAGTTTTAATAATCACAATAAAATGTTGATTTTTCAGGAAATTGCTTAACTCTTATTATTGAAGGCATAATTCAAAACATCATCTGCTAAGTTAATTGAGTGATATATCAAATAATATTTCAAAGTTTCGATCTTACTCATCAAGGTAAAACTTACCTTTTATATTACTTTGTTTTTTTGTTATCATATAAAGTCGAAGTTAAATTTTATATAAATAGCTTGGAATTTATGCTAGAGAGTAATAATCATTGGCACAATTTCAACAAACATTTTGAAGGAACCCTTCTTATAATTAGTTTTTATCATAATACAGTTTTATAAAATTTTATAAGCACTAAGCTACTCTAAGCACTCCTTAATTGCGCATCTTTGAAGTCCTAAATAAAGTCGCTGCGTTTATTAAATAGTGAGCAAGTAGAAATAAAAATTATTACTGAAAAATCAACTATTTTACTGCAGAACTTCTTTATTTTAAAGTGATGTATTGTTGGCTTCAAGGTAAAATCAACTTGACTTTTCGAAGTTTTCTAAAGGTAGAAGAATATTCCAGATTTGTATGGATAATTATTAAAATGAGTTTTATTTAAAGTTAGTTAAATTAGTTTGAAGTGAACTATAAAATTATTTACAAATTTTAGATTTTTATATGTTTACAATTATAAATATTACAAATAATAAATAAATAATAATAAATTATTAACAAATTCAAATATATGAAGGTCATAATTAATTTGTAGGTTTGAATAAATATTTGAATCAATTTAAAACATAAAGTATACCTACAAAAAAAAAGGTTTTTTAGAATATTTTTGCTTTTATACTTTAACATGTAAGTATTTATTAATTTAAAACAATTATTAGATTAAACCCAAGTAATATCGACTATACATTTTTGACTTATATTTACATATCTTTTGATATGATTTTATCACGCATTTGGTACTTGATGATGGAAACACACAGCAAATCTCATTGTTAACAATTAGTTCCATATTGAAGTAAGCTGTGAAATTGTAGGTGCTAAAAAATTTTGTCATAAATGTCGTCTCTTAAGTAGTTTTTCAGTTATGTATTTGTTATGAAAACAAATATTTTGTTTCTAAAAAAATTGTTTTGGAATCTAACATACAGCATAAAATAGATTATATTATATGTTCTATAAACTTAACAGACAACTTTTTCTATATTCAGTATGAGTTTTTGAACATTATTCAAAAACCAATGTTACAGAATATTAATTAAGAAATCATAAATAATTGAAATATTGTAGACAAAACCAATTTGACTAATTTACTGCATACAATGTGTTATGAACTAATTAGTTTCTGTGAACGCATTATTTAAATAAAAACTTTAATGTCTGTAGATGCTTAGGCGTAATGATTAATTATGTTTTAGTAAATCCATTTTTATTTTTTTTTATTAACGTTATCTCCTTAAATATTTTCAATTAAAATCGAAAAATCTACCTTTGATAAGATTTAACAAATCGATTATGTGGACACTTAAAAACGTTTATTTATAAAATTAATGACAATACACAATACAAAGGTTCATAAAAATACTATTACTGTTGTCATTTTTTTCAAAGACGGACTTTAAACGGTTTTGTACTCACATAACAATAATGTTTATATTTTATTGGGATAAATTAAACTAGTTTTTAAAATTAATCAAACAAATTTATAATTGTTTCAACGAGAAGGGGAAATTATAAAAACTAAAAGTGTAGAAGCGGAAAATAAGTTTTAATCATTCATAATCTACATTTTAAGAAGAAAAAAGTAAGAATAGACTATTAATTTAAGTTTTATTATAGTTTAATTCAATATTAAAAATATTATAGCTTAATTTAAATTAGTTCGATTTCATAAACTATTGGCGATATATGTTTTCTTTAAGGTAATTTCATATATTATATTATAATAAATTAATTTAAGAGCATAACATAACTATAATACAGTGATTTAAAGTAGTTAGTCATGCTTAAAGTCAAGTGTCGTGATCAGGTTATAAAATGTATGGTTTTACTTCAAATCATGGCAATAACTAAATGTGCAAACATCGCAGCAGAAATTGAATACTTGCCAGATGAATTGATGTTTGAGACTTTTTCCATAACTCAGCCACTCTCTTTTAGAATACCACTTGTAGATGATATCAACTTGGTAAATGTGAAGTTTTTTGCTTATTTACATGAAAATCCCGAGCGAGCTTTAATTGCAGATAAAGTAATATTTGATCATATGAAAAAAGTAGTATTCTATACTCATGGATTTAGAACAGCGCATTTAGATGATTCAGTGGCAATGAAAGATGCTTTTTTTGAAGGATCCGATGATTTTGATTGTGTCGTCCTGGTCGACTGGAGAAAAGGAACTTTTGCTAGTAATATTAATTAAACTTATATTAATTTACTACATATTAAGTAATTCATTTTCATCGATTCGCTTTACTTAAGTTATTTTCCCCGAAGCTTTTAACTAAATTTTCCTAGCTACACATCAGAATATACTTCAAAGTTTTAAAATATTCAATTATATGCAAGAATGTTAAAGAACATTTTGGCGTTAGATATAATGTTATTCGAAAGATGTTTTCAATTGATTTGGTTTCATCAATATTTTCTATATGAATGCATAATTATTAGAAAAGTTTCAACTATTTTTTATTAATTTTTTTTTATATTGGTTACAGATAATTCGTTATTTTCTATGGCACCTAATTATATACACGCAGCAACTGTCAATGTACCGGTAGTAGGAGAATACTTGGCTGAATTTATAAACAGCCATATTCCTTCATACGTTTATGTGTATTTAGCGGGGCACAGTCTTGGAGCTCAAATATCTGGAATCGCAGGTAGAACTCTAACGCGTAATAACCCAAACCGAGTAATCGACAGAATATCAGGTGTGTAACCATTTCTTTGCGAATTTATCAATATTAATTTTACTATAGCGTATACTTTTCAAATATAAGTACAAAGTTCTAAAATTCAAAAATTAAATATATGTATTAGTACATTAAAATCAATAATTAATTTAGTAAAATTATTGTCAGTTATATAACAAATAGTATAATGACTTTTGGCCGTTTTTATAGAACTGTTGAATAGTATTCGGTATGTGGTTTATTTATTTTTTATCACATTAAACGATAAACCATCTTTCGATATCATACAAACGGTTATATTGATTTCTAAATGAAATATATTTAATTAAAAGCAATGTTCTTGTCTATAGTTTTAATTAAAATAATTTTAAATGTCGATCGAATTAAAATTGTTAACTATTTGTTAAAATTGTCTTTCTATTACGTTAAAACTTTCTTTATTTTAAGTCAACAAACAATTTAACTTGTCATAATTTAGTTGGGAATAATATCAACGTTATATTATTCAAAGTATTTATTTACTAAATGTTTGTTGTAGCTTTAGATCCGGCTGGTCCAATATTCGAGCATGGGGCACAATTTTTTGACATAAGTACCAAGTATACTTTGCGTAAGACTGACGCCAAATTTGTTGATGTTATTCATGCCAGTTCTGTGCTAGGCATGGTCAAAGAAGCTGGTCATGTTGACATTTATATCGATGAAGTCGACTGTTCCTTTTTTGACATAGTTTGTGCACACAGCAAAGCCTTTGATGTATTCAAAGCATCCATCAACAAGTGTTCACAGATAATATGTCCTTACAATAAATTTTCGGATGACAACGAATGTAACTATGAGTCGCGCAAAGAACTCTCTAGTCTCGGTATCTTAGCGCATCTGTATGAAGGTAGAGGTAAATATATTGCTCGCTTCTACACGAAAAGAGATTCATTCAAACAATCTACTGGTGTATGTACTGCTTACATGAATGAAGAATTAATGGCCAAAGACAGAATTTGCCGTACGCCTCCGTCATTAGGTAGCAAATGTTGGCTCAAACCCTATGAATCCGTTTGTGAAGATGAAAAAAAAATGTGTAAAATAGTTAAAGAAAAATTAGGATTCATAAGACTGCGGTCTAGAGTCACTTGGGTTCGATATGATTAATTACATTAATATAATTTAATGAATGTTGGGCTTCTTAAAATATGTGATTGTTAAAAGTAATATTTTTCTGCTATTTATACATTATACTAGTGTTTTGTGTGATTCTTGAAATATACATTTTTTTTATTTCTAATTTCTGTTGATGTTTGAAATATTTGCTAGTATAAAAATTGATCAAATAGTAACAACAGTGATTGAGCAGTTAGGAATTTTCAATCATTTTCTCATACAAAACTTGATTAATACTTTGTTATGTGAATAATTAATAACTAGTCTTAACAATAATTTATAATCAGAAATAGTTAAATTGCAGAGATAGAATGATGCAATTTTTTCCATACTACAGTAACGCAAAAAAAAGTTAATAATAGTTTTATGAGATATTTTATACTATATCAGAAAAATTATACAAATTTTTTTCGAAACATTCCCAAAAAGTCGCTATTGGTATTTTTAAAAGTAAGTGAATGAAATATTTTTATAATTTTGTCTAATTAAATTCAAAATATAAAAAGACTTAATGTAACAAGTTTTACGTCATTTGTATTTATATTTAGAAAAATATCGTATTTTACGATAAAATAATTTTTTTAATGATGTTTAATAATTTATAAGTATAAATATCGTTAAAAAACAGTATTAAATAAATGTTCAGTAAATAACAATAAAAAACTACAGATACACATTTACAAAAAAGTCAGTCAATTTTTAAAAAAATTATATCTGTTATATTAACTGAATTAAAATGAATCACCAAATAATACGTTTGATAATTATCAGTTTAGTACTTTTAGTCAAATCAACACTACTCGATGGAAAAAATAAACATATGGTAAGGTTAATATAAAATACCATTTTAATATTTATTGAAATTATTATTATTAATCTCATGTTATATTTACAAGAGTATAGGCTTAGCTTGAAAAATCTGTGCCTTTTATATATCTTACGTATGGATAATAAGAACTTTACAACCATATTGCTTTGTCTTTTTCTTCGTTTTCTAAAAACACAGTTTCGTTTAAATGTGTCTACAGGGGCTAAAGCATCCACAGCTTCCATATAAATTACTCTAATGTATAAAAATTACTTTGAATTTTAAGAAAATTGTCTGAAAAGCTCAATAATCAAAAAATATGTTTAATTAAAAAAAAAAAAAAAAATTAGTGGCTTAAAAACAATAATTATATTGACATTTTTTTCTGTGTAGTTTGTCTTAAATTTTTTTTAAAACTCAAACAGTTATAAAAATATTATTTTTAGTAAAAAAATATATGGTTTATAATTCCCGGAAAGTTACATTTATACATTAAAGATCAAATTGCTCAATAATATTTATTATTATAAATAAATAATCCTTTCTCATAATTATTAAATCAGCTTACTTAAATTAATTAAATTTTTTATCTTCTATTAATAATAAGTATTTGTGTTATATTATAATATTGGTGTTTTTTTTTTTAACAATATTACTTGATACCACATGTACTTGATATTTGATATTTATGTTTGCTGTTTAAATTAACAGTAATATAAAATTTATGGATAAATTTTATTTTATTTTTTAGCAATCCATAAAATATAAACAAATTTTGATAATTAATATTTATTTAAAGTAATATTTTAAATACTAATGGATGACTTTTATTTGCTAACTCTTTCATGAACTTGTATATGCAGTTTTCTAAAAATGTGGGTGTTTTATGTTAATATTCAATAATTTTTTTTTAAATTAACGTAAATGACATTTAAACAACTATGCAAAAATTTTGACTGTTGTCTTACTATATTAAAACTAGTATAAAATAAATACCGACAAATAAATCAACTTGAGTCAGTGAAATATGTTACAGAAATCATCACTTTTTTCATCATTTTTTTTGTGTTTTTTATTATTAATTGTAAACTTTTTACTAATACTGCAGATTTATACGACTAAAATGATAACAGTTATTTAACTGCTCTAAGAATAATTGTTGCCCAATTTGACGGTAGCATAATGAATATCTGAAAATTAAATAGACAATTTCTTTTAGAATAAATAATTATTAAAATTATCATAATAATATTGTCGTTTATTTACTCAAGTAATTTATGTTAAAAACGCTTATTTTATAGTTCATAAGCGTTAAATATTTATTATAATTTTTTACAATATCAAATGTATTTATCAAAATTTTACGTTTATAAAATCCAGAGTAATCCTAGCATTGTACTAAAATGTATAAAAGTAATAAGGAAAGTATTTATATGAAACTAACTTTATAAAAATCTTTTTTTTAAGGTAAAAAGAGTTTATGATTTAATTTATGAAAAACTGCCAACAAAAGTATTAGATCATTATAATACTCTGGAGCTTGATAGTGTTGGATCATTCAAATTTACAAATGAAGAGCTAAACTACTTATTAAAAAGTTACAAAAAACAACCGAATTATGAAGAAGAAAAATTTAAAGCAGAAATTAAATACCAACTAAAAGGACAATCATTACAGTGTGTTAATGGCATAATTGTGTACTATTTATTAAATGAATTAAAATTGGAATATACAGAAAATAACCAACATAAATTAAATAAAACAAGTACACTTATTTATTTTAAGAATGTTTTAATGAAAATGATAGCAGTATTAGGTTCTTCAAAAATTATTGCCCACAATTGGTTTTGGAAAGTTTATATTCAAATACTTGCTGCTAATAATTGGCCATATATGTTTTTTCAAAATTTTACGATTGATTTCAATCAATACGAAGATGATTTAATGGATTTTATTGATCTTTGTCGTCAACACAAGTATTTACCTTTAGTATCTGGAGTACAAGTTTCACACTCTACTTTGTTTTACGATAGTTTAGGTATATCAGCCATGAAACATTTTATAAAAGAATTTTATCATGATGGTAATATAGAAAATGAATATTTAGAAATTATTTATGAGACAGGGTTGCACTACAATTTAGATAATATAGTTTTGGTAGATTATTTCCACAGAGAAGGCCACTTGTTTGGTTTGTCTGAAAAGTATAACTTTAATTGGGGTAATTTTAAACAACGATTATTTGCAAAGAAAAAAATACTACACAAAATATATCGTTCTATGAAATGGGCAAATAATCCTTTTAAATTTATTGATTACCAAAGAAATATTGTTACCACAGTTAAAGTGAATATTTTTTATTCTTTATGGTTACAGCTGAAATTATGTCATGTAGCATCAGTTATATACAAAAAAAATGTAAATGTCTTATACAAAAAGAACACAATTTTTAACATTGTTTTTAAGATATTATCACTAAATCAGTTATTGTCATTAATATCTTTTTTCTCTATAGATGATCCAATTTTAATCGAAGTTTATTTATTATTAAAAAATAACATTAGCTTAAAAATGTTTGACGAAAAAATAATTATGGATTTAGAATTGATATGTGAACGGTTAAAACAAGCCATCATGGAAGACATTAATAATTTAGAAATAATGGAAAAGAATTATTCAATTAATTTTTTCAATAATGTCGTTGATACAGTTTTATCACAGAATATTAAAAATACAGCAGATATTTTGAATTATTTGATTAAATTAGACATAATTGATGACATTTTCATAATAAAAGTGGAACTCGACTTTAAGCAAAGTAATGAAATTAGTGTTATTGTAAAAAAAGTGTTAGAAATTTTTATTGAAATATCTACGTACATAAAAACCATTAATCAAATGATGTCACCTTTTTCATTTTTTTTTATTAATTACTTTTGTGAAGGTGCATTTCAATTAGATAAAACATTCATTTCGCCGTAAAAAAATAGCTATTTATTAATCTATAATTACTAATATTATCATTGTATATTTTGCTAGTGCACTATTATAATAAATAATTTGTTATATTATATAAATTACACAACTCGACAATATATGTAATAGTAAATTAATAAAAAGTATAAACCTATGTATTTTTTTTATAGTAAAATGCTATAATAAAATCAGATTTTGAATACTTCAACTATTTTATTATTTATAGTAAAAAAAAACATTAAAAATTGACAAATTTTGACAGAAATTTCGCATAAAAATTATTTTAGAAAAGGTTAAAGCTTAAACTTTTTGTTTTTTGAACAGGACTCATGTTTTTATTTTCAAGTAAAATTCACACATCTTAGCTTCGTTTTATTTCCTTGGTATCTTTTTTCCATTGAGATTATATCCTGATTTATCTTATATTAAAATTCGACTAGTTTTAAATTTGGCTACTATTATTTAAAATTAAAATTTTATTAATACATATTATTAATCATATTTTTAATATAGGTTTAATTTTCTATAGTTAATAACTTGTTCGAATTTAGTGTCAAAAACCTAATAAAAATGCTGTAAAAATTTTCATTCCATGACCCAAATTTTGACGAGTTATGTTATTTATTTATTAAATTTTAAACGGGTCAGGCCCGATAACAACGTTCTACAATACAATCGTTCATAGAAAATAATAAATTTACAAAAATTAGATGAAAATAATATACAATGTAATAATACTTATAGCTATGTGTTACAAAGAATAGAACTACAATAAATTTTAAATAAGTTAAACTTTGGTGATATAAACTGATCTATTTTTAACTCATTTATAGTTTTCATTATTGTGTTAAGATGAGTATTGCTAGCATAATTAGTTACTTCTGTGTTTAAATAAAATTTATCTTTAGTCCGGGTATTACGAGTAGGGGTGTGAAAAGAGAAATAACTTAAAAAATAAGACAGTCAAAACTGCCTGCGAATAGCTTATACATATATAATGTATTATTTATGTACCATTCATAGAGCGTATTTAAATCAAATTGTAGTAAATCTGCTTCAACTTGATTGTTAACGGTTCGGAATTATTTGAGATCATCAGCAAACATTAATTTAGCGCAGTTGTTAAGCTGAATGTCATTAATGAATATAATAAATAACATTGGGGCTAAATGGGAACCTTGAGGAACTCCTGATGTGAAACGTATTGGAATGGACCAAATGTCTTTATAAGCTACAATTTGATGACGATATCTTTTATGTTATCTTTATATTTTTATTATTAAACAATTCATTTTGGCTTCGATGCAAAGCTGAGATGGTATTGATTTTACTATGATTTGTTTTTTTTTTAGCTTTGATGAGAATCTGAGAAGGTATTTTATTACTATGATATAATTTTTATTTTTATAGATGCTTGATGTCTTTACCTATCATTTGATATATTTTTTATATTTCTTTCTACTTATAATATACATATATATCATACATACTGTATAAAAAAAAAATTTAAAGAAATGTTAAGCTCACTTGAGACCTACTAGAAATATACCATATAATGACGGTAATTATGATATCCACACTATCAATTTTAGACTTAAAATTTTGAAACTAAAAAATTTGTATTTTACAGTAAAAGTAAAACATTGGAGTCTGAGTGCATGGACATTATGTCCACCTCGATAATAACTAAAACTAAAAACTAAGTGCCTAGACACCACAAATTGGATGTGATGAAATAAACAAAGAAGTGTTTTGAAAAGAGATGGATGAGTTAATGTAAGGAATACCTAGTAATAAGAATACGGCGATAGGCCGAAATGTATTTGTGACTAGTTTTAATAATAAAATTAATGATATTAACAATAAATAACTCGCATAAATGCAGATGAAAGGTAGTACGCACTGGTCAGTTTCAAATACTTGAAACTAATTATACAGAGTGTTCAGTAAGTAATTCAATTCCAGTCACAAACAAAAACTAACTAAAAAAGTACAAATATTATTAAACCTAATGTTATATTGGAAGGGAAGGAAGAAAGAATGCATTTCTACTTAGTTGGTCGGACTGGAGTAGGTACCAAAGTTGCAACTAGAGCGCGCCACATAATTGATTCTAAACTAAATAACTATAGTCAGGGACGTCATTTAAATTTTTGGTACATAATAGGACCAGACAGTGTTTCTAAACGCAATTTTAAAAAGACAAAATTAATATAATTAAATCAAAATTTCTCCTTTTGAGTAGGAAAAAAGATTGATAATTAAGGTTTTATTATAAGCTCAATTCTTCAAACTAGCATAAGCATTGAAAAAATATATTTTATTTATATCAAAACTGTAAAATAAAGCAAAGTCATTTTCTGAAAATGGTTTTTTTAGTATAAAATTAGTTTAGTAATTGTATTATGAGAGATAAATCGTGAAGGAGAAGCGACTTTGTGAAAATGATTTGGCGGACAAAAATTTGTCATAGTCTAGTATAATCTGATATAATGCTTTTGACTATAGATCACCCAGCCGTGCTCACCTTCTCAGATCAGCCGCTGCTTTGCCTACGCCATACGGTGACCAAAACGTACACCCCTTGCAGGGGGGGAGTAATAAGTAGTAAGTAAGTTAATCTATCGACTTGCGGTTGACGACAATCTGTTACGATACCATCTGTAAGTAATCTTCCGACATTGAACAGTCATGTTGTACGTATGTCGACGTTCCGACACCGAGAAGACTTAATTTTTTTTCATTTTATCTTTTACTAAAAAATATCATGACAACCAATTGTGACTGTGATAATATACCCGTCAACCATTTAATTGAATTCCTTATTTACTGTATTTATGTTTTGCTATAAATAAACGGGCCAACGTCCATATCGAATATCGAACTGTTTTAAACTACTTTTTTTTGTTTTGCATTGCCGTCAGCACTGTAGTGTTGCAACAATAATCATACATATTTCTTTTGATTAAATCTATACCAAGACAAACTAATAAACGGGAATTAAATTAAGAGGTTAACATGATTCACTATCATATACAGTTTCAAAAAGTGGCAAAAGACTACTTTTATATTGCATATAATTTTATTGAATATAACGTTTTAACTGAATATATTATTGTTAAAAAAAAAAAAAATACGCTATAAATAGCATAATTTTAACACATATTTTTCGTTGATTTTAAAATAACAATTGACTTTGTGTATTTATGTTTAAAATTATTGAGACCTATTTAAAATTCAAAGACAAATATTGGTAAAATATAAATCTATAAATAACATGAAAACACCTTTTTTTAATGCATATAAATTATTAGTAAAAAAATGTGTCATAAGTTAATTTTCCGATCAATTAAACTTTATCTCTTCTATTATCATAGCTATAATGAAATAGAAAAAAATAGGTTTCTAATTATCTTAATTTTCTACATTAAATTTTGTTGTTTTAATATTAAGTATATTTTCATTACGTAAAAAAATAGAATCGTTTGTACCATTGGATAATCAACTACCCATCTAAGGGCAACATCCTCTCAATAAATTAATATCATAGTAGTGAAAAGTGAATTTCTCTAATATTCTACGTTCACATGTTTTTCCTGATTATAAAAGCAATGAAGTAACAATATTTAAACAAAGAATTTTTTTAAGATATAAAAGAAGTCTATTCAATTTATTAACTCTTGACAAAATTTTACTTTTTATGTTTATAATAAATCGACATTATTACTAAATTGACGATGTTTAAAAATAAATAAATAGCAGATAAGGACTGATATTATATCATTTTTACTTACTTTATCATAGAATCATAATTATCTTAAAATATCTACATCTATCAACAAATGTAGACCCAAATATTTACGAGAGGCCCTTTCTTTATTAAAAATTCATTTTTTGGTATCTCATCAGGTATATTTATATTAGGGTATATTAGGGAAATTAATATTANGGTATGTAAAAGGAAGAATAAAAAAGTGTAGCTGATATCAAGACTACGAATGAAAACGTTGCTGCGAGTGGAGACTCGTTATATCCGGTAGTGCCATCGAAGGGTATTGCCAAAGAAAGGACAAATGGTTTGTAGTTATGAAAAATTATAATAATTATAATTACTTATTTTTCAGTTAATTGTGATATTATTTTGTTGCCGTAATCATTATTCTATAATACGTTAAAAGTTTAAATGCCATTTATTATTAAAATAAAACCTCAAACATTTCAAAAAATATGTTCTCATTTGAAAAAGTTATAGCAACATAATGTTAAAAAAACGGTAGCACAGTGGGGTCGAGGCACAGTGTGGACGAGGCATAGATGGGACAAGTATAGATGATATCTGACAGTGATTAAAATCACTATCATAAGAAACGCTTCGATGCAAATCTGTAGATAGTGTTTCCTTTAGAGAAATTGGTGAAATATTTTAAAAGCAACATGAACTCTTATTTCTTTAATTATATCCTGATTAGTAGTTCTTTGATTTTAAAATATAATATATGAATAAATACTAATTATAGTTTTTAAATTTAGTATGAAATTGTGAGGCCAGCTATGATGTAT